AGTTCCAGTTTATCGATGCACATACATTGGGATTAAGAAATTATGCCAGCATTTTTACATTTTTACGAAAAAACCAGTTTTTTGCGATAACTATACTTTTGCACATACATTCAACACATTCGCGTTCAAATACAAAGTTTTAGATAGAAGTATTTTGAAATCAAAATAAAGTACAACTTTCTGTATCGCAATACAGGTGCTCTGTAATGCAAAGTAGGTACAAAAATAGGGAAGAAATCATTTTTTCCCACGAAAGACAGGAATCAAAATTTTGCAATAAAGTTTTCCATACGAAAGTTCTAGAATTCATGAAAATAAAGCTTAATCGTTTAGTAAATTCCTCTCTATAATATCATCTTGACACTCTAAACGGTATAATTCGTTTGAAAAAGGCCGAAAGTTTGTTATATACAGCATCTAACTTTTTTACATTACGTTTGTGGGCAAAAGTGTTAAGTATAAAAGTTGGAGACCTCATAAAAGTATACATTTTCTGCTACGACAATTTTCGTCTATGGTCATCCTAATAATTTAAACAAATAAATTGTACTAAAACATCTGAAAAATCGTTTTTTAAGCATATTATAACTGTTAAGCGTATCCTTTGCGGAGAAAGTGTTTATCACAAAACTTACAGATTTTTTAGCTTGTAATTTTTTCTTCATAAGATACATAACAAAATATCAAACTTCTTTGGGTATGATATTGGGCTGTAAAAGTGGTCTCTAAAGAAATCTTTTAAATTGTTACTTTTGCTCTGGTTATCCGTAGATTGATTGGTCATACTTTAAATGCAAGACGAATAATGTTTTTCATATATTCATCCGCTCGTTTAAAGATTGGGTGGTTCCTTTTATTAATCAAAAATATTACTTTACTGAATTAACTATAGACAATAACTAACGATGTATCTGTTCCACTAGCAATTTACATTAAAAAAAATGTTTCTCGTGTCGTTTTAAATGATTCATTTGATTGACATAATGGTAATACAATTTTATTTGTATTCGACTGCCTACCACCTATTACATCCGTAAAACGCAAGAGCTCACGGATGCGTAATGGCTTAGACCGAGCTTATAGACAGATTTTAGATCTACACTTAGTGAAAGGGAACATCGCGTATCTACGATGTCAGTGATACCCTGTCCTCTGCCCATGCTTTGAATACTTTTGATTTGTATTCAGGTATTGCCGTCTTTCATGTCGCAGAAGCGTTAGCATCAGAAAAGTTAAAATTTTTCATCAACTCAGGGAGTAAAACTCCGTAGGCATGCATCATAATATTTTTGAATAAATTATCATGATAGCTGTCATTGCCGTGAATTATATTTATATTAAAAAGGTAAATGATCCCGTAACTAAAGTCTTTTTTTTTAACGTGGTTTGTTTACTAGTGTTTTCAAAAGTTTAGATGCATTCAATAGTTGCAACATTCCATTAAAATAATTTACAGTGATAGTATTTGATTATACTTGTTTATCCTTTTACAAGAAACGGCTGAAGGCAAAAAACTCTGTTTAAAATCTATGAACAGTTATTATTTAATATTGCCCTTAATATACAACGTATAAACATGATTATGTTTGCTAAAAAAAATTTTTTAATTATTTTTGTTTGTATTTACATAAAAAATTGCACAAGCATAATTTGATACCGTTTGAAAAGATAAAAGAATATGTAAGAAAAAAATATGAATAAATTTTATTGTATGTAGTAAGAAGTATGGTACGTGTTAACTTACTGAATAATAAAATGTGAAAATGATAACAACGAAACATTATGCTTTCTTTCAGTAGAGCGATGGGCGATCGCGCGACGGAACCGCGGGTGGCCCCGCAAAAGCTACACTCCGAGGATGAGAACCTAAAGGAGATGCACCTGAAAAAGATCAAACCCAAGCCCGAGAGCAAACCCATCCTGCAAAGTCTACGCGAGGGTTTGGAGCAGCTAAAGAAGCCAGGCCCGCCAACAGCGGCGGTCAGCCGCCCAGACTCGGAGGCCCGGCCACGCAGCGCCAGCGCCGGTCCCGGCCCCACCCCCGGCGCCGGCATCCTCGAACGCATCAACAAACTCCGCAAGGCCGGCCGCAGCCGCAACCCCGCCAAGAAGTCGGCCTCCTTCACCTTCGCGGTACGCCCCGAAATCGCCATGAAGACCGCCCAAGCCCAGAAGTACTCAAGCCTCGAACCATCCGAACCCCTCCAGCATCCCAAACAGCCGACCCCTGGCAAGTCGCCCGTACAACGATCCGTGTCCACGTCGGTCCTCGAGGTGCCGTCCGTGGAGCTCCAGCCCAACTACTCACGGGTCCGGGACAGCTTGGCGGGAGCACCCCAGCCTACCCTGGCCCCGCCGGACCACGAGTCCCTCGAGCGCCGGCACACCGGTGACGACATCTACGCTGAGATCTGCGAGAGCCCGGCTGTGGTGGACCGCCAATGTCCCGGCAGCCACGTCATGGCCCGCGTCAAGATCCTCGTGCGGGACGAGCAGCCGCGCGAGCAGCAGTCCCTCGAGCTCCAGCCGGCGGTCGACCGCATCAAGATATTCGTGCGGAGCAGTCCGGAGTCCCCCGCCGACCGCAACGACGCCAGCGTGCATCAGAACGACAGCGAGGCTATTTACAACACGGTCTTCTGACCCAGACCGTCGTCCGTCTCGCTGGCGACCCGTCGTTGCTGGGCTTTTCGACTATCGTTGTTATTACTATTATTTTTTTCGTTTTTGCCAAAAATTTCGAAACTCGAGTATCCAAGACTTCTCTTTCGTTGTGATTCGATTGCTCGCGCGATCCTGCCCTTCCGGGCCACGGTCGTTTGCTCCGTCCAGTTGTGACGTGTGGATTGACTGTGCGACGCCCAAAGGGGGACGATAGCTCGAAAAATATTTTAAGTGAGAGCGACGCCTATCATCTGCCTGCATGATGGAGCGCCGGTGTAATTATGTACATGGTACTAGTAATTCTTAGTTGATCCGAGTTTAAGAGAGTAACGATATATTTTAGAGTACTTTATCCGTAATGTGATGTGCCAGATTTGTCCTTGCTATTTATGCGACGAATGTAAAATGCAAATGTAAATCGATATAGTCAGAGCGCGTTCTTTAACACCAAAGTGGTGCTGTACTGCTTTGTACATACATGGACGTTGTTTTACGTAATACAAACTAACCACGTTGAAGTAACAAAAGATATTAATTTCTACTATCTGTAACAACATAGGTAAGATAACGAGAAAAACATGACGATAGTCGCATTTAATGAAATAAAGGAAACCAGACAACTGGTTGAAAATTCATTATAAATTTATTTCACGTCTTTTTTTAACCATTCTTAATCCCTTCCTTGTTGCGATATTTTTTCTTTTGGAAACACTAGTAGTAACTTTTTTCTTCAAAGAGGGACGTTCTTCGATGGCTTGTTTCATAATGTCAATTGCTTTATGAGAATTTTGTTCTAGCGATATTTGCAAGGAGGAATCCAAATATTTCCCAGAAAAATTTTTTGGGAAAAACGGCTTTTTCAGAAGTTTTTCCAACTGATGTCTTCTAGCTTTCAACTGTCGTTTTGTATCAGCTGTTTCCATCTCTTCCATAGGATGATCGCTAAAAATTAAAATTTACTTTAGTAAGTGCGTTTACCAATAAAAAAGTTTTAAAAGCTTCTGCTTACAACTCATCATCATCAAGTAAGAGATCCATTTCCTTTGCTGCCTTTTGCAACCAGCTCTTCTTGGTATTATCTCTACGACATGTCAGTTCCAGTTTATCGATTTCTCTTGCAATATTTACACGTTCTTTAACAGCAATCAATAAGCGATCGATGACAGGAAAAGTTGGCAAATCTTCAGCTAAAATTTAAAAAGTATATGTAGTGAATTACAAAATTGTTTAAAAATTGATTTCGTTCACTCTGTTAAAGTGCGGTGTGAGCACAAAAACAATGTAAAAAGAGCAATTTCTAATGAGTCATAATGTTTTTTTCACTGTACAACTTACACTTCACATAAATTTGAATACTCAAACAATGTGACCACATTAATACTAAAAGTGTTTACTTACTTCTGTTCAATGTCTTGCAAAGGTTGCTATAATGGTGCTTTTCAGAAGGTTCCATCATTAATACAGTGATGCCTTCTTTCTGCGCTCTCGCTGTTCTACCACTTCTATGTACATAAGCCTGAAATAAGATAATTAGTATTATTCCATTCAATACTTCAATTAAATATGTGTCTGGTTTCTACATTTACCTCAGAAGTTCTAGGGACTTGGTAATGTATAACGTGCTCAATACTAGGTATGTCTAATCCCCTAGCAGCTACATCTGTTGCTATCAATAGCCCATTGTTGTTGGCTTGGAACCTTTAAATTTTAAAAAGCATCAATACAAGTAATCAATAAACTTTTAAATTGCCTTAAATGAAATATTTGGTAATGATGGTGCATAATTTTTTATTTCCTCACCTCTCAAGATTCTTCAACCTTTGTCTTTGTGGCATGCTAGCATGAAGAGGTAAGGGTTCGCAATTCAAAATACCAAATAAAGTTGCTAATCTTTTTACACATCCTATACTGTTACAAAAAACTAGTGTACGTCCAGTATGTCGCTTTAAAAAATAATACAAATAATAATCTTTGTGATCTATGGTACACGCTATGCGACACTCTGTCAAATTATCGGCAGTACCTAGATAAATTGTAACAAATGGAAACTGAATGACAATTCCATATTATACCGAACAACCAAAAAAAATACAAGAAAAAAAAATTTTTTTACCAGTGCCCTTGGTAACATCAATTACTTTTGGATTTTTAATTTGTAGCATTTCAATGACTTTCTGAAGCTTCTGGCCAGGCGTCAATTTGTAAATTTTACTTCTAGAGTTACGAATTTTCTTCCTTTGCAAATAATCAGGAAGCTCGTGCACCAATGTCAGTGTGGCAGAAAAAACAAACGTCTGTCGTTTACTGGAATCTTTAGAATTTACCCTTTCTATAATACTGTGCAGCTCCTGAAAGTGTCCTTTCTCTAACATTCTGTCAGTTTCGTCGATGACAAGGAATCTGAAAAATAAGATAATGCAAGAAATGAGAACCAACAGCAAAGTTTTGCTGTTCTTAACCTGTATACACTGACCGGATGGAGTTAATTTGACTAAGATGAGGATTTCCTTCATCTATCAGTTCCCACAGTCGACCAGGAGTCGCAATAACGATTTCAGGGCCATGGCTGAGTATTCTTTCCTGTTTGACTGCTGCCATACCGCCAACAATAACAGCAATCTAACCATTGAATGTAAAAACGAACAAGTTAGAAAAGAAGGTGAGTAGATAAGCAAGGATAAACAAGTCAATGAGCCCACCTTGATATCCGTATATTTTGCTGCCTTGGTCAAATGATCTTTGATCTGGATGGCTAGCTCCCTGGTGGGGGTCAAAATGAGAGCGTACAGGGGTTTCGTCGGCTTCGGGGTGTCATCGTCAAACCCCTCGATGCTGACGTTGTCGATAACCTTGACCAAGCCGATTCCTCTCTTCCGCAAATCTGGCAATTTTTCACGCAAACCAGAGCTGCCGCGGTCGCTCATCTGTTCTCTGTCTGCCTCATCGCTCGAAGACTCGGGCTCGTCCAAGCTCCGCTCTCTGAATTTTCCACTGGCACTAGAGACCAGCTTACCTTCCCTTCTTTTGAGTTCGAGGATACCATGTAGTATGGGTATGCCGAAGGCCAGGGTTTTGCCACTGCCGGTCTCCGCTGCGCCTAGCACGTCCCTACGACCCAGGATAGCCGGCGGCAGGGCTAGAGTTTGAATCGTCGTTGGCTCGCGGAAGCCTTGCTCTAGTAGAGCCTTAGCTATGACTGTAGGCACCCCCAAGGCGCTCCAGGCTTCGTCAGCATTCCGCGCGCTCTCCGTGACCATCTCAGCTTCATGTTTAATCTTCATGGGACAAGATTGGCGATTGACACTTACTTTAGGGTTGCAGTTATAGCTTTTTAATCTCTGTTACAGTTAGTGTTCAACGGTTTGTAGCACACGTTCAAGTATACGCTCTACGACTGTAAACTTAATTACTTTGGTACAATTGTCACTTTCCCTTAAATGAGTCTCTTGAACTTTTTTTGTTTATGTGTACTTTATCCTTTGAACTTAAAAAATCATTCGTGTAACAAGTAACAACTGTTTAACTGCAACAATCAAGTCCTTAGTGCTCTATAAAACAGAATCCTAATCCGCACTATGCACAGAGCACGCTGACTGATACACCTCATTGACCTCATGCCTCATGTCATGTACTATGTACCCAGTTACCCGCGTATCGACAGCAGAGATTAGTCGACGAACTCCGATACAAAACGCAAAATTGCAGAACACAAAGAACAAGACTAATCGTGATCGTCTGCTGGTGAATCGACCAAAGTTAGGGCTCGGGCACATGGAACCGCGTAAAGGGTATAGCGTATAAGAGCTGTGGCCGAAGGGTGGTCAAAATTTTAACCAGCCGCCACTTTCCTCATAATTAAGGAACTTCATAAATGGAAGCGGTTCAAAATGTTTTGATGATATTTCATTTTGGTAAAGAGTTATGTGGTAATTATAGTTGTGCCATACAATCTTTTTCATTAACCAGCCGCAATTTACACTAATGGGTAGAAAGTGGAAAGTAGTCAACTGGAGGTGTCATTTGTGGCAAGATTATGATCCATTTTGTTCACAAAAATCGACCTCCAAAAATAAAGATATAGTATTATTATCTACAATGTTATCTATAATGTCTCATCTATATTCTTAGACAAGTATCGTAGATAAGATCGGGGAGAGGGTCTATATTTTTGAAGGTTGATTTTCGGGTACAAGATATATTCTGATCTTGCCGCAATTGGCACTTTCAGCTTACCACTTTTTATTTTCTATTCATAAGTGTATGTTGCGGCTGGTCAATAAAAAAAAATTATATGGCACAGCTATAATTTTTTTTTGTTTTTTTTAGTTTAAAGGTTCTGACTCGCTGAGGTATGAACGACAGCTATAATTACCACATAACTCTTTACCACTATAAAATATGACCGAAATATTTCGGATCTCCACGAATCAATAAGTTCCTCAATTCTGGTAAGAGCAGCGCGGACGCGAATTGGGAGCGAATGATCAATACAATCGGGCCGAGTCTACGAGCTACGAGTATGAAGACGGAAGTCTTCAGCTCCGGCTTGCATGACAGTGACGATAGATGACGTTAGAACTCAGAGATTAAACCTACTAACACGCGAAAATTTAAAAAGCGTGAACCAAGGGATGGCGTTTTTTAGTAGGAGGGAGCTGTTAGGAAATGATCCTATCCATTATCCATAGATATAAGCAACACTAGCGCTCTGTCTCAGACGGCGCAAAACTAAAACCTATTTTATAGAAAATAATAAAGTTTATAATTATTGCGATGATCAAGATTAAAAAGTCATAAATAACAATAAGAAAAGAACCTCCCCAGATTTTTTTCAGCTTTCCGAGAATTCGGGAATCGATTTTATTTTGTTTCAGGCATAAACGGGCTTGGCCTTCAAAATATTAGGCTCTTAACGTAAACAAGTGGCTTGCGTGACGAATGGCATGATTCATCCCAGCACAAACAAGCCTGACCTTCAAAATAATGGGCCTTTTGAGTAAACAAGTGGCTTGCGTGACTACCGGCTTGACTCACTTCAACCAAAACAAGCTTGGCCTTGAGTCTACTGCCATTCATACCTTTGAAGGGATTTTCAAAACAACAGCTTTAATCAGAGAAATTGAAGAACAAACTAGGACAAACAAGTGGCTTACGTGACTTTTGACACGACTTGCAGGGTATAAAAAGAATTGGATTTTCATGCAGTAGTTAGTTGAAATTGAGATTCTGTTAGGCAGAGCTTTCGACGTTCTATTTTGGCGCTTCCCTCTAAACCAGAGGACGGAGATTGCCATCTATGTCTCCGTAGTCTATGACCATGAGCCAGGTCATAACAGAAATACTTTTTGGTAACAGTGGAGGAATACCTGGAGGTCATCCTCAGGAAGCTCGGGTGCTTCAAAGGGTTAATACGAAGAGCTAACTAGTAAACATTCCCAGTGCTATTTTGGACACCAGAGAGCGAAGGATACCTGGAGGTCATTCTCAGGAAGGTTGAGCACTTCCAAGTGATTATACAAGTAAATATTCCCTGTAACATCTGGGACTCCAGAGAGGAAAAAAAAAAAAATACTTGGAGGCCATCCTTAGGAATCTGTAAAGGAAATGCTAAGCCAGAGTATGTGTGTGTTAACAGACTGGCTGACTGGGCGAGAGTGAACAAAACCCTAGTTACTTGACGCTGAAGTGCAGCGTCACTGCGTCTCGTCTTCTTGCTGTTGCGCATGCGTAATAATTCAGTTACGAGCGCCAACAATACATCTAACACTCTCTTCCGTTCGTATCTGAATTTATTAAAATGAAAAGAAAAGATACATTTGAACATTAACACTGAATATAAGTGAACTTTAATCAGCCAATGATGTGGAGCACGTGGGCTTCTGGGTCACTCATTGTGGTTGATTCCAATGAGCTAAAACGAGCTTACACAGAAAATACATTCATCAGCATGTCTACCATCATTATCTATCTATTATCAATTTACTAATTTTACTATCTCAACTTCAAATTTAATTATCATGCATTTTACGCTAATTAACATTCAAAATTTTTTCCGTTAGTCTTTCATGCAGTTCAAACGGCAGGGGTTTTGTGAAGATATCTGCTGGTTGTTCCTTGGATGGAATCCATTTAACAATTATTTTTCCTCTGGATACACATTCCTTAACGTAGTGAGCCTTTATCTCGGTCGTGTGTCTCAGTCTTTTGCCACTATCTATCTTATCACTTGCTGCGGCGGCTTTGTTATTGTTACACCATAGATCCGCGGGCAATAAAGTGCGAGACAATATAATACTTATATAGTGTTCTAGTCCAATCAATTTTTGACTTGCGTCGCACATTGCCACATATTCTGCTTCGCAGGTTGAAATAGCAACATAATTCTGCATTCTTGTTTTCCAAGCAACTGTATCCCCATACAGCCTTAGGAGATATCCATCTGTTGTTATTGAGCCTTTACAGTCTGCCAAACTCGCATCTGAATAGGCTTCAAATCCATCTTTACAACCTTTGTAAGTTAATCCTAGGGTTCTTGTGTGTTGTAAATATCGAAATACCCATTAGACCATTTTCCAATCATCTTCAGTTGGGCCGATTTGATGTCTACTCAGTACATTCACCGAGTATGAAATGTCTCGTCTCATTGTGTATGCCAAATACAGCAAGCTACCAACTGCTTCTCTGTATGGCACATTTTCTCTCGTTATCGTTGTGCTTAACTCTCCAGCATCTTCAGACTCTTCTCTATCTTTTCTTTGCCGTTTTAAAATTTGATTTGTCACCATTGGTGTTCTTTGGGGTTTTGACTCGTTGAATCCAAATCTTTCTAACATTTTATCTATGTATGGTGTTTGTGTTAGTGAAATTGTATGATGTTTTCTATCTCTTTCCACTTTGATGTTTAGAAATGTGCCAACCTCGCCAAGATCTGACATCTCAATCTCAGATTGTAGACCAGTCTTAATTTCATTCATTTTGCCTATACAATTGCTGGCTATCATCATATCATCCACGTATAGGATCAAGACTAGAAAGTTATCGGCTTCTCTCCATGTATAGAGACAGGGCTCGCTCGTATGTGACCGTAGTCCCAATTTAGATGCAGTCTCGCAAAACCGCTCATTTTATCTTTTTGGGCTGATCTTAAGTCCATAAAGGGCTATCTCCAATTTAAAAACCTTAGCTTTCTTGAAACTGTCGCCATCAAGCAGGTCTTCAGGAAACTCCATATATATCTCTTCTTTGATAGATCCATATAAGAAAGCTGTCTTGACATCAAGTTGGCAAGTCTCCAGATTGGATATCTATTTATTATTGATATTACTGATCTTACCAGGGCTAGCCCAGACACCGAGGCATAGGTTTCTTGCAGATCGTACTCGTTCCTATCTTTGAAGCCGCAAATCACCAACCTCGGTTTGAACTTCGTGTTTCCATCTTTATCTATTTTTCTCTTCAAAACCCACTTAGAGTCGATCATGTTGGGCTTGCCACCTTCAGCGTTCATGGTTGGTCTTTCTACAAGTTTCCACACTTGGTTTTTCCGCATTGATTCCAGTTCTTCATCAATTGCTCTGAGCCATTTATCGCGATCCGGAGATGCGACAGCTTCTTTGTAGTTTGCGGGATCTTTGTTCAATCCAGCAATCAGGGCATGTGACATTTCATCTTCGATTTCTGCTATCAAACAGTCAACATCGCCCTTCGATTGAAGCAGTTTATTTAACTTGTTTGTGTCAATGGCTCCTGCAAAGCTCGTATCATTTATTCTAGTGGGTTGCTTAGGGCTTTCTTGACCAAGATCTCCAACTTTCTTGGGCCAACCGCGCTTTCTCTTGACTACTGGTTCTCCCTCCGTTTCCAATGACTTTTTAGGGCTATTCTTATCAAACTTGACGAACCATTCATCTTGTTTAATATCTGTCTTGTGGTTTCCCCAGTTTGCTATTTTGTCCTTTCCCCAGATATCTCTGAACACCAGTCGCTCTTGAAATTTTACGTCTCGACTCTCATAAAGTTTTCCATCTTCAGGTCTTAAGAAAGAATAGCCAGTGGGGATATAACCAACCAGCAAGACTCGTATCCCTTGTGGACCGAATTTGGTTCCAGTGTTTCTTTGTATCTTGATAAAAGCGACGCAACCAAATCTTCTGATTTGGGTAATGTCTATCCTCAGATTGGGTGCAAATTTTTCTAAAGGGGCTTATTATATCGTTTGACCGGTGAGGTGTCCGATTGTAGGCGTATACTGCACTGCCCAGGGCTAAGTCCCACATGCTCTTCTTGAACCCAAAGTCGTCCATGTAGGCTCGCACCTTGTTTAACAAGGTACGATTAATCAGTTCTGAGACTCCATTGTGCTGAGGGGTATTTGGACAGGCCAACTGAAGTTCTGCTCCCAACCTCTGGAGAACTTCTACCGTTTGGGCTCCTGTAAACTCCGTGCCTTGATCGGTTCGAAGATAGCATATCTTTGCATCAAAACCCAACAGGTTTCGTGCGCTTGTCACGAAATTGACAAACATTGTCCTGCTTAACATTTAGACTTCACTGGGTATGCCATAGTCCGATGCTTCTGACGAAGAAACGTACACCAGAGGTTCCAACGAAGAATCGTACAGCTCAAGGTTTCCAACGAAGAATCGTACAAGCTACTACTTTCCAACGAAGAAACGTACACACTACTACTTTCAGACGAAAAATCGTACACTCAACTACTTTCCGACGAAAACTCGTAC